AAAGTAACTTTAAACCAAATCGTCCACCTAAAACCAATAGGATCGATTTTAGTCAATAAAATCGGTTACTATTTTTTAATTTACTTAAAAGGCTGGTAAAATAGTTGCAAACAAAAGGCTAGTTAATAAAAAAAAAAAAAAAGGAAATTGTTAAAAATATCTTTTTTGGTGTGCCCCTTTTCAAAAATGCCCATTTTAGATGTCTATTTTCAAAAATGTCATTTTTTAAATCTGAAATTTTTATAAAGTTTTATTAGGTTTATAAGGTACTTATAGATTGTAGCTACTACTTGAAGACTCGATCCAAGTATTTATAAGGTTTTATAAGGTGCTTTTAAAGGTTTTACAAGTTATTTAAAAGAATTTTTAAGGTTTTTCAAAGGTTTTACAAGATATTTTAAAAGTTTTTAAAGGTATTTAAAATGCATTTATAAGGTATTTATAAAGTATTTATAAGATTTTAGATACATAGAAATGTAGTTTGTGTATGTTTTAATAATATTACATACATATTTGGGTAAATCTTATATTTTTAAGAGCATTTTTTATAAGGTTTTTTAAAAAAAGGTATTTTTGAAAAGTGACATTGAAAAAGTGGCATTTTTGCAAAAGCCCCCCAAAAAAATGGTACTCAAATACTAAATTATAAGATTATATATACATTTAACATCATATTTAGTTTTCACGTTAGCTAATGTATAAAATATTATATGAAAAAACTAACCTTGATTATATGCGTTAGACCTTATTTAAACACTAGATTAGTACTTAACAAGATTTTCTTATCTATACAATATATCAAGAAAATGCTTCTAAATTAACTATACTTGTGATCAAAGATATAATTTTAGTCATATAATAAATTAGTAACTTCTGAAAATTAATTTGAAATAATAATAAAATGCATAGATGAGAAATGACCATAAGTTCCAGATACGTTTAACTATTGTCATGGGTTTACAAATTAGTTATTATTTGAATCATTTGTTATATAATCTGAAATCAAATTTTAAATTGATTTTGCGTATATTTTTGCAAGTAAAATCATATGACTAAATAAAGTAAGAAATCAATTTTTTTTTTTTTAATCATAAATAAATATAGTTTCTTCTTTAGTTATGCACGCTGGAAACAGATCCTCTAATAAAAATTGGACTTTTCAAACAAAGAAAATAAATAAATAAAATCTTCCTTTACAAAAACAAAGAGGAAAATTCAAAGAAAGGAGAACTCTCTTCTTCTTCTTCTTCTGTCCTCTTTATTTACTTAGTTGGTTCACTTGAGCACATGATCCTCGTCTCTCTTTTTTTCTCTCTCTCTCTCAATCACAAGTTTCAGTTACAAGCTGAACCAAAGTATCTCAGATTCTGATCTGATCACTGTTTTGTCTGTGAAACAAAAACAAACGATCCTGTTTTTATGGAAAATTTAATGAAACAGTGACGACTCAAATCCTTTACTCTGTTTTCATCTTTATAATGACAAACATTTCATAGTATCAATATCCCAAATATCTCTTTTTTATTCTCTCCTCTCTCTTTCTTTGTCATTCATGGCTCCAAATTCAGTAGCAGTGACAATGGAGAAGCCAGACAACTTCTCTTTACTAGAAATCAACGGTTCAGATCCATCCGCATTCCCCGACAAGCGTAAATCCATCAGTCCAAAGCAATTCTCATGGTTCCTCCTTCTCAAAGCTCATAGAGTCGTCTCGTGTCTCTCGTGGCTCGTATCTTCGGTTAAAAAGCGAATAGCTTTCTCCGCGAAGAACATAAACGAAGAAGAAGATCCTAAAAGCAGAGGAAAACAAATGTACAGATTCATCAAAGCTTGTCTTGTTATCTCCATAATCGCCTTGTCTATAGAAATCGTCGCGCATTACAAGAAATGGAATCTTGATCTTATAAACCGACCGTCTTGGGAGGTTTATGGCCTTGTCGAATGGTCTTACATGGCTTGGCTCTCGTTTCGATCCGATTATATTGCTCCTCTTGTCATCAGTCTCTCAAGATTCTGCACTGTCCTCTTCTTGATCCAGTCTCTTGATCGGTTAGTACTCTGTTTTGGTTGCTTCTGGATCAAATATAAAAAGATCGAACCTAAGCTCAAAGACGAATCTATCGATTTAGAAGATCCCTCCAGTTTCCCAATGGTCCTTGTTCAGATCCCAATGTGCAACGAACGAGAGGTAAACTATGAATACCCGTTTCTTACTCTCTTTTGCTCTGTTTTTACTCTGTTGTGCTTTGTTTTTACTCTGTTTTTATTTTGTTGTGCTCTGTTTTTACTCTGTTTTGAGTTCTGTTGTGTAATTGTTATGTTCTGTTTTCGATAGGTATATGAACAATCAATAGGAGCAGCATCACAACTTGATTGGCCAAAGGATAGAATCTTGATTCAAGTTCTAGACGATTCAGACGATCCAAATTTACAACTTTTGATCAAAGAAGAAGTATCGGTTTGGGCCGAAAAAGGCGTAAACATAATTTATCGGCATAGGTTGATCAGAACTGGTTACAAAGCTGGGAATTTGAAATCAGCCATGACTTGTGACTACGTTAAAGATTACGAGTTTGTTACTATCTTCGACGCAGATTTTACACCAAATCCTGATTTCCTCATGAAGACTGTTCCTCATTTCAAGGTAAGAACACAAATCTATCTATTAACAAACTTAAAAAAGGAAACTTCTTTCTTGAAGTAAGAAGTTTCGTAATTTACGTTGATGTTTTAGAGAAATTTCAGTGAAAAAAGATTTGTTCTTTTTACACTTTTTAAGTTTAGAAAATGATTTTTTGATTATACTCGTCACCGACAGTTGTCTTTGCTGTTTTTTTATTCTATTTTTTCGGTGGGTCATGTTCTAAGTAACCGACAATTTTTATATTGTTTTAGAAAATCTAAGTTGTATTTGTATTTTTGGTTTTATGTTAGGAAAATCCAAGTGCTTATATTGTATGAAATCAAAGTAACCGACAAGTATAAAATTACAAAAATCATGACTTCTCTAGTTGATTCAATCTAGTTGAAGCTAATATTGATTTTGCTTGATTCCGGGTTTCAATTATTCATTTGTTTTTACATTTAGATATTACATGTAGATAATCTTTCTGATATATATATATATATATATATATATATATATATATTATCTAAATGTAATATCTAAATGTAAAAACAAATGAATAATTGAAACCCGGAATCAAGCAAAATCAATATTAGTATAATAATCATTGTTTTTATAAGTTTTTTTTTCAAAAATCGAAGTTTAGTTTATTATTATTATTATTTTTATTTTTTATGTACCCCACCTAAAGAACATATCTCATTTTTCATGTGGGTTGTTGGAGTCAAACTCAAGATGATAGAGACGCCGATTTTAAGTAGACTAGTCAATAACTCAATATATTTTATTTAAATATAAAAGTAAATTTTTTGGAATTTTACATTTATGCAAAACATTTTTGAACAATCAAGATTCTGATTTTTTTTTTCTTAAAAAAATCAAGATTTTGATTAGAAGAAGAAGAGAATTTAAAAAAGAATGTTGTGTTGTTTATTTGCAGGGAAATCCAGAGCTAGGACTGGTCCAAGCAAGGTGGTCATTTGTGAACAAAGATGAGAATCTCCTCACAAGGCTACAAAACATAAACTTATGTTTCCACTTCGAAGTAGAACAACAAGTGAACGGTGTGTTTCTCAACTTTTTCGGTTTCAATGGAACCGCTGGAGTCTGGAGAATCAAGGCATTGGAAGAATCCGGCGGGTGGCTCGAGAGAACGACCGTGGAGGATATGGATATCGCGGTTAGAGCGCATCTGAACGGCTGGAAATTCATTTACCTCAATGATGTTGAAGTCACTTGTGAGTTGCCTGAGTCTTATGAAGCTTACAAGAAGCAACAACATCGTTGGCATTCGGGTCCTATGCAACTTTTCCGGTTATGCCTTCCTTCCATTATCAAATCAAAGGTAAAATTTGATTTCTATAACTAGTGATAGTAGTTTAACCAGTCAAAACATCATTACATATACTCATTTGTTTGTTTTGCGGATTTTGATTTTTGTTTGCAGATATCGGTTGGGAAGAAGGCGAATTTGATCTTCCTTTTCTTTCTTTTAAGGAAGCTTATTCTACCTTTTTACTCATTCACACTCTTTTGCATCATACTTCCATTGACAATGTTCATACCTGAAGCCGAGCTTCCCTTGTGGATCATCTGTTATGTTCCTATCTTCATTTCGCTTCTCAACATTCTCCCGTCGCCTAAATCTTTCCCTTTCTTAGTCCCTTACCTCCTTTTCGAAAACACAATGTCGATAACCAAGTTCAACGCCATGATCTCCGGGCTGTTCCAGTTCGGATCAGCTTACGAGTGGGTTGTGACAAAGAAAACCGGGAGATCATCGGAATCCGACTTGCTAGCGTTTGCTGAAAAGGAAGAGAAGTTGCATAGAAGAAACTCGGAGTCCGGTTTGGAACTTCTGAGCAAACTTAAGGAGCAAGAGACCAATCTTGTAGGGCAAGAAACAGTAAAGAAGAGCCTTGGAGGGCTAATGAGGCCGAAGAACAAGAAAAAGACGAACATGGTGTTCAAGAAAGAGCTTGGGCTTGCGTTCTTGCTGCTAACCGCAGCTGCAAGGAGCTTTCTATCGGCGCACGGTCTTCACTTCTACTTCTTGCTGTTTCAGGGACTGTCTTTCTTGGTTGTAGGGTTGGATTTGATCGGTGAACAGATCAGCTAGACTCACACAAAATCAAGACAGAGAACAAGGAAACAAATACCGTTTATATTCGCTATTTTTTGTTTGTTTATTTATTCTTTTCCCTTTCTTATATGTGGGTTTTATACATAATTTTCAAGAACTTATAATGTCCAGTTTCAGATAAATGAATTGAAACGAATTTGTTATATGATTTTGGCATAACGTTTGAAAATCATAGCTCTTAGATGTTCTTGTATTAAATAACATTTTTGTTTTGTTTTAACACTTTTTTTTGGCAAGTTAAAGTGACATTTTTTTATTTTTTTATCGAAAATTTCTTACAAATTTTGGAATTTAGGTTATTAATGAGAAAGCTTGATTTTCCCTTTTTTATTACTAATTTTAAAAGTTTGGTTTTATTATTATTTTGGCATTTTTCCCTTTATTGTCTTAATTTTTTACTTGTTCTGGAAGCAAAAACCCCTAGTATTGTATGTGATATATATTCAGCCGTTTGGCCAAGAGGAACAAGATTAGAAACATTGCTTGTGTTCTCAAAACTGAAACCGAAGATATATCGTCAAATCTAGCATAAGATTTCTAGGTCTACGCGGTTATCTTTCTACAGTCAAAGCCCTTTCTCTATTTGTTGTTGTTCTCTCTGTCTGAGGTTTTCTGTTCGATTTTGTTTCTAGGTCAGTGCGTCAAGAACATCATGGGAATCTGGAGCTATATGGGGAAAACATCAGTATTCATATTTGGTCTTGGATTCTATACGCGTAAGTCGTTGTAAAGGTTCTTCGGGTCATTGATTAGTTTATGATTGTAGCTTTTTTTGGAAAGTAAGCCTGATCCATGTGTTATTGTCTTTTCTTCAGATGCTGCTTTATTCTCTAATTCAGATAATAAGGTAAACACATTGATCTCAAATCCCAATAATGCGATCTTTAGCTTTTGTAAAAACATGATGATGGTTGATTGAATTTCTCATGTTTCAGATGCTTATGACTCAGTTGGAATCCTTCAAAGAGGTAAAAAAGCAAGAACGGTGTTACTATTTTTAAAGGGTACAAGATGTTTTTTTTTTCTTTTCTCTTTTAATGTGTATACTCGAAATTTCTCATCGTTTCAGACTGTTAAGGTTCAGATGGAGTCCTTTAAAGAGGTAAAAGCAAGAAATTGTGTTGTGTTAAAGTTGTTTGATTTGGAAAATACATAAAATAATCTTGTCCTGTTTCAGCCATCTAAAGCTCAAATGGCTAAGTATAGAGAAATGGACCAAAAGTTTGAAGCTAAGTATAAAGAAATGGAAAATAAGTTGGACAATCTTGTGAAGGTAAAAAATCAAGTAATTGGTGTTGATGTGTCTAAAGTTTGTTTGTGTGTTTGATTGATTTTGAAAGGACGCGATTATGTTTGATTTAGAATGTCTTCTTATGTTTCAGTTGTCTATGACTCAAATCTCCGAATTGAAAGTAACTAGAGAGAAGTGTTGCAATGATTTGTGGAAAGCAAGAAAATACATAGAGGAATTTCATGAGGGAATGGATCAGAAGAAACAATCTAATTAAATTATGCCTTTTATGAGTTGTTGTTAAAAAGTCTTTTATGAGTGATCAATGATTTTAAGTGATTTCTTCTTCTCTATGTCTATATTCTTGGTGAACCTTGTCCCATTTATGTTCGAATCATGTTATACCCATGTCGATCGGGGCATAACAAATTGGTATCAGAGCCACAGTTACGTTCTTCTTGACCGTGGGTATAAGTCGTAACGCTATCTCACTTCTCTGATAAATGCTCGCTCGAGTGGAGTCCATCGCAGGGATTCTAGACTGGATATTTAAACCAGCAAGCCTTGCTAACGATGAAGGGATATGCTGAACTTGAAGCAACCAGAAACCTCAATCTATCAAAAACAAAATTATATAAAGGCTAAGTTTATACGATCGCAGATATTAAATATATATAGAATATGAAACTAATTGTCAAGCTGTTGTTTCAAGCTTCCATATAGATCAAATCAGCGTTTACTCAAAATCTGGAATGCATTGTCAAGCTGGTGTTTCAACTTTATATATTCGAAATTTGGAAACAACGGATCCGAATGCTAGGACATCACTCGGAATCTCGTCCCTGGCTACTTTGAATTAAGTCATTAAGCAAAAGATACCAAACAAACTCGTCTACTATCCTATCATGTTCATCAGAGACCATCTTGCAACTTGGTTTCATTTCTCTCGGCCTTAAATCTTTCAACTTGTCTTTATCTTAGCAAGTTTAAAACAAAAGAGATCCTCTTTTAATGTTAAACTAGATCCTGACCCGCACGTACGTGCGGGATTTTATATTTTAAGAAATTGTTATAATAAATTATAATTCGATTTAGATTGTTTTGTTGTTTTGTGATACATATTGTACGGTATATATTATAATGTAAACATAAAAAATGTATCTTTTTTATAATACAATAGCTAAAGTAGTGATTCATGAGATAAAGTTTGGAGTTTGAAACTAAAGAGTAGAGAAAAATAGTATTAGATGTAAATATATTATAGGTTAGATTGATGTAAAGTAGTGCTATATAAATTTTTTTATTTTATGTATCAAAGTAATAGTTCGATTATTTTCGACTATCAATACTTTAAAAGGCTTGTTGTCAATGATGAAACACATTTTAGTTTTATAAGTGTTGAACTATCGGATATGTGAACATCAGTGTTTGTTACTATATTAAAACTTTTAAACGTAGTGATCTATTTTTTTAGTAAATGTATTTTGGGCTAGATTTTATGGGCTTGTAGTAAAGCCATTTATTTGGCCTATTTTGAATTTGTAAATATTTGTGTAATCATACATATAAAAGTAGGGTTTCACTCTCTTCTTATTGGTCTATTTAGAAATGTAACTTAATTTTTTTTTATTTTTAACTAAATCATAAATAAAACACATTTAACTCACACTTTAATATAAAAACTGAAATCATTAAAATTATACATTAATTATATTTTTCCTCTCAATTTTATTCAACACACAATAAATTGGAAATGTAACTCCCATAATTTATTTATTTAAATTGTAACTTATCTAATTTTTCATCCTATAAATACTCATTTCTCATTCTCTCATCCTCTCATCCTCTCACCCTTCCCCTATAGCTCAAATCTTAAATATTTTTTTGTTTTGTATTCTTACATTAGTTTTTTTTTTTTTTTTGAAAGATGCATCTTCATTGTCTATTTTAGATAATCATCTTATAAGTAATCATTCTCTCATCTTCTTCTACTATATTATGTGTCTATTTTTTATGTTGTTATATGGATTAAAAATCAAGAATTCTATTCTAAATATATTTTAGAATGTATTATATATATCTAACATTGTATTCATTTTTGTATATTTCTAAAACTATACTAAAATATACTTATTTATTCTTTAATTTTCATATTTTTAAGTTTAAATTCACATATGTATACTAAAAGTTTTGATGGTTATAACAAAATTTTCAGGTTTATTGGTGATGGTGAGTTAAATATAGCAATTCCAATCATTGCACAACAAGATAATGAAGTTGAAAAAATCCATTTCCATTTCTACTTTAGATATTTGATTATTTTCTAATATATACATGTAACTTTTTTTTTTGTAATACATTTATTAAATATATATTTCTTACCTTTTTCTTATCTCGAATAAATATTGTAATTTATTTTTAATATATGTATTATTATATTTACTTTTTGTGATCCAATAGATAATTATATAAAAATCGTTATACTTTTATTTTATTTAAAATTTGAGGTTTAAGTATTTTTCAAAGTAAAAAGAATTTCGTTTAAAAACATTTGGTTCTTAAGATTAAAAAAAGGAATCATATGGTTCAAGAAAATTAAATTTAGGTAGAATAGAAAATTAGAATGAAATCATTAAAGTGAAACCTAACACTCATACTTAAATAGAGTGAAATATACAAAACGATAATTATAATGAAAACAAAAATCATTTTATTAAATCATATAAAGATAAAACCATTAGTATAAAATCTAGGACTATAATTTAAATTGAAGAGTGAAATTTTTTTATAAAAAATATAGAAGTTATCCTTGGATCTTTGATGATTTTAATTAGATTGAAGTTCATATAATTTTTATAAGAAAAATAAATTTAGTTTGCCACTTGCAAAATAATATGAATTTGAACTATTATGTGGAAATTTATATCAACAAACAAACAAATTATCTGTGAGTTTATATCAACAATTTATTTTGTAAAAGTAATAGATAACATATGTTTATTGATGTTTACATACATAAATAATAGTAAAGTAAAAAACAACACTAAAATATGAGCAAATGCAAGATATCAAATCTTAAGAGTCTTTTAAAAAAAATTGCAATCATATTTATATTGAAACAAATATCATCCACATCATTAGCATATAATAATTTAAGATTTTTCTATAATAATATATTATAATTATATTTTATGTATTTTCTCATATTTTGTAACCTCCATACTAATAATTATCATTATGTTGTTAATGCTCACACTAAATTACAACAATACTTTAAATACAATTAATACAAAATGAATTCTACACAATGAATTCTTTGAAATGTAACATAACTTTTATGATATAAATACAATTAACTTACTCATAAATGACATTTAAACATAATTGTTAAAGTTGAATAGTTGTAAAACGTAAATATGTTGTCTTTTATAAATAATAATATACACATATATATCACTAACCATCATATTCCAAATTTCATAATATTGATAAATTTTATAACAATTTCTTTTATAATCCGACTAATGGTGTTTCAATATTACAGTTTTGTCAATTTTGTAAGAGGCTGTGAAGAGGAGATGACTTTTAATCAAATATTGTATTGATTAAAAGAAGTCATATACTCTTAATCATTTTTTAAAAAACATAAATATCATTGTATATAGATGAATACAATTCAAATTTTATAGAAAACATCAAATTTGAATTTACTATCATTCATTTATTTTTCTTTAAATTTTAAATTCAAGTAAAAAAACTAAATAAAATAAATAGCAAACATATAACGTAGTATGCAACAAGCCGCGAGTATCGCGGCTAAATAACCTAGTTATGATAAATATTTGGTTACTATTTAAATTTCGTTTGCAAAGCTAAACATACATACAAATATAGTTTCCTTGGCACAATATTAGTGATGTATTCTTAACACTCGTACACCAAAACGAACGTTTGTTACCTTTATTCACAATTTAATTCTCAACTTTTGGCCCTTTATATGCAATCTTGCATTCTTGCTACATTTTAAACAGCAAAAATAATACCAAGAATAGTCCACATGAATTCTGTTGATTTTACACATAATCTTATTTAAAACCACTATTTAAAAAATCTTACAACTATTTCAGAAAGTTCAGACATTGTTTCCGAAGGAATCGATTGAAATACTACTTTTTCAACACTTGCATTTTCTTTGGGATATCTTCTTGGATATCCAAAGCTAATCCATCTTTAGGCAGTCTAATATGTTACAATAAAAAAAAATAGTTAATTATAATTCTGTCAAAAACAATTATACTATCTATACTATGAACGATTATTATTACATATGTGGAGATAAACTCTCTAACCACAAGATAACTGTCAAAGGAGTTTGATTGATATATTTCACCTGCAAATATATTAAAGAGTAAAAAAAATATCTATACATTTTAAACTGGGCTACCTTTCTATGTAAAGGTTCACCACTACAATAGAAAATCCTTATTGTTTTTAAACATCATAACAGTTAATAGTGTAGAGTGTAGGCTTGTTAGAAATGTCACAAGTTTTTATTTTACCAATACTTTTTACATGACCGAATAAGTCTGAAAAATAAAATAAAATTATAAGTTATGTTAGTAATTGAATAAGCTTCTATCAAAACATTTACATAGTTATAATTTATATAATTACCAATCAAGAAATTATCGTTCAACCCTTCCTCATTCAAGATATATATCATCAAAGGTAGTAAAATCAAAATACATATCATCTGAGATTGAAGCACAAGGACTTCTAGGTTTTGTTCATGAGAGACATTTTGTAGGCATGTTTGGTTGCCCGATACTTTTCCATAGCTGTTGATAGTGTGAAGTTTTCGATAATTCACCATTCTCCAGTTCGAATAGAACCTCTTTAGCTTACAAAAGTTGCTTTTTGAAAGATGCATGAATCAAAGTACCTTAGAAATGTTAAAATATAATTTGTTAGAAAGAAAACATTAAGATATAAAGCCATGTAAACAAATAACTATATGTGAATCTATTTGCTTACATATTCATTGGCGAGAATCATCTCCATGGTCTCTCCAGTATACTGAGTCCACGAATGCAATATCTTAACTTGAATCCCCCATTGGGTTTTGAAAGGTTCAACATGAGCAAGGCTTGTGAAGTCAAGATTTGCAGCTATCTTTGAAAATGAGAACAATAAAGCAATAGAAAGGAAAATAAGAGATGAGTACTGAGTGATGATAAACATGCAAACAAACCCTATATTTATAGGGTCAAGAGAGTCAGCTAATATATTTAGGGTTAATGCATTTAAAGAAAAATAATTGATAGAAGATTTTTGAAAAAATTCCGTAGAATATGCTTCATTTTTAAGGATAGCAATCTTTAGGTTAGATTATTTTGAAGCATATATGATTTATTTCGATTATATATTTTATGGAAAACTACCGTAAAATTTATAGATTACGTGAACTAATTTGTAAAGCCAAATATTTGGAAATTTATAAAAAGATTAATTGCACATGCTAATATTCGAAATTATCCATAAAAAACGTAGATTACGTAAAATAATTAATGATTTGATCTAGTTTTTCCTAAAAATTCAAAATTTAAACTTTTATAATTGTTTAAAGGATCTTACTTAAATGATACTATTCGAAACAACCCATCAAATGTGGAGAATACATAAGCTAATTAATTTTGTAATTAGTTTATTTCCTAAAATAATTGATTTAGTTTCATTTTTATATGGAAATTGGTTTAATTCGGATGGATAGCTACTATCAAAATCCGCTCCATGACCCAAATAACTCAGTCCAAGATCTGTGTGTGTTGGGCTGAAGAAGTTGAAGTTCATATGATCATCATCATGAGCTTTGATTTAAATATTTTGATGTTAGGTTGTTTCTAATAGGGAACTAATATCCAAAATTTGTGATTGCAATTTC